ATCAGTAGACTAAAGAGGCCTTTCGCTGTTGAGTACGATTTGAATAGCAGCAAATTCTCTGTTTGGATAAGAGCATGTTTATTCCAACACAACTGCATCTGACACCAAACAGAACAACACTTCATTTGACTGCTAATGTCACAAACCCAAATGAGCTGAATGAAAGATTATGTGGTTAATCTCTACTGACAGTCTTGCTGCTGCAGTTCCATTTTCAACAATACAGCCAAGTTAACTAGTGTAAATCTATCCTGATCACATGAAATATTACTTAAAGGCTGCTTGAGATATAACCTAAGTTATGTTCACCTGGCTAAAATACTAAGTCATGTTTTGTGCTGTGCCCACCCTGCGCTGTCCATTAAGGATTCAAACTTACATACGCTCATACACAAGCTCTCACCTGGCTTCAGATGAAGTAAAACTAGGTCTTGCAGTTCAGCATGATCATCCAGATGGGCCAGTGTGTATAATACCAGCCAAAAAATGTGATGACACATTAGGCAACAAAAATGACTAATTACAGGCTCACCCTTGGAAGTATTTTATTAGCTAACCATCAGATGTCCTGCCTTTCATCACAAAGACAGCTCAACCATTGCCACCTCTTCAGTAGTCCAAGGCTGGCTGCTTTATGCAAGGTAAGAATCTGTGGAAGGGCTATACAGAAGTCAGAGATTAGTGGTATTTTGAATAATATTTTAATAGTATTTTTGCTGGGTATGAAGAGTTGGGTGAAAAATTTTGACCAACAGAAATGTTTTTTATGCATCTCACAAAATCTCTCAAACTCTGTAGTAGCTATGTCTTACCATTTACACTGTCTTGCCCCATGGATAGGTGCTCCACTGGTGTCAGACTTTACAGTAACATTAGACTTTGACTCATGACAAATTTTGACTCAGGACAATCAACTTCATGCTACGGAATTAGATATTAGGTGGCTTAGACTCTTTGTTTTCTCACTGACTTCCACTGGATCTTTGAGTCTTCATGTCTTTCACAGCCTATAGAGGCTGAATTTTCTAAGATATTAGAATGATACTCCCAAAAGAAAGATACATATGGGAATGTGGTAAGAAACATGCCAAAATTAATTTGTATTAATATAACCCCAGAGTTCTCTGCTATATTTTCTGTTTTGTTCTTCTGACTCAGTAATCTCAATCTTTTCTCTCTGATGCACCATTTTTCTTCCCCAGCTTCTCCAGAACAGGTATCTTTCATCATCACCATCTCTTACTTCCTCAAGGACTCCTCTATGGTTTCAAGAACCCCATGGTTGCTGGTTTCTAGGGAACTTGTACTTGTCACTTCTGACAATACTTCTAGACCTTTCCTATCTCTAAATTACTGATTTTATTATTCAGTAGTATTACTGGCAAGAGAGAGGTACACAAACAGTGAAAAGGAAAAAATGATAATAGTCTGAATAGTAATAGCCTCTGATGTGCGCAAGTATCAGGGATGAATTGTCCAAATACGGCTGAGAGAAATCTGGTGTTATTTACAGGTCTGTGGGGAAAACAAATAAACAAGCCCACACCTGCCAATACATTACTGGTTGAGGAACCCTCCTGAAATAAGACAACCAACAAAACAAGTATGATATTTAATTCTTAGAGAAAATTGCTTTGAGGGAGGAATATTTGTGTTACTGACTGCTCCTGCTAAGAAGCACATGATTTCTGGAGGCTGCTTGGGAAACTGTACTAGGTAAACTCCCATCTTAGAAATGGCCTAATATGAAAGTAGACTGTACTGTTATGAAGGTACAATGGTATCCCACATAAATCACAACTGTGCAATGTAAGAAACCTTAATTTCCCTCCTGTGAGCTCTACCAGCAAATGTAGATTTCTTTCTAAAGACAATATGGGTTTGCCATAGCCAAAAGTTTTTGTAGAAAGATGCCTCTAAAAAGTCACTGTTTCCAGGAGGCAGCTTCCACTATAAGCAGTGAAGCCAGAAATGTGGGAAGCTCTGCTGGAACAAGGGACATCCAGGTAAGTGGGTACCCTGGGAGAAAGTCTTAATCACCTCCATCACATGTGAGAACTGGAGTGGGTTTCTATCTTCAGGTCAAATATTTGCGTGAAAGGCTTCAAAACCATCAGTACTAGGTGGGAAGATGGTCAAAAATGCTAAGAACAGCTGCTCAGGCCTAAAAAGGATTATTTCTGTTCTCCGTTGTGACTAACGGGAAAGCTGTCTTAAAATGATGAGATGGATTGGCGCGTCACTTCCACTGTCAGCTCCCTGTGCTCCACTTGTACATGCAATGATTCACCAGAAGTGGGTGGTGAATAATACAGAAGCGGGTGAAAGAATATAGGATGAAATATTCCTTGCCATCCTGAGCTCGTCTGCTGAAGATTAAGGTTATTTGTTCCTTGATCACTCAATGAGTATTTTCTAACTCAAGTTAAATAAGGAACCTAACTGGACTTTTCAAAGGTTATTCTACAATATGATTGATCTGGCTGTTTTGGTTTTGTGTGGTACAGTCTCTCACGGGTTAATTATACTGACAGCTTTTCTGCAGTGCTGTATTAATACAAACTGTCGAAGTAGCGCCTTGGCAAATGGGAAAGTCATTACTTTTTTGTGTCAGATTCTGCCACTTGTGCTCCCACAGACCTGCATGTCACTCAGTTCTCCAGTAGCTCTGTAATAGGACTATGATCAATGGCTCTTCTTGTGCTAGAAGATAACAGCTGGTGAGAACAGCAGAATTTGTCTTTTCATGTCTTTTCATGCTTTGTGCTATGACACACCCGACAATTTTTATGCTTTAAAATACTGCTCACTTAAGAAAATGCTCTGCCTTCCCACTGATTGTTCAGATGAAATTAAAACCACCATTCTTACTTTCTTCTGTAAGAACCGAGTTACTCAGCTCGGAAAGGAAAACTGTTTGGGGGAGATCCATTGCCTCCCACCTGTCCTAAAATAAAAAGTAAAGGGTGTTCGAGCAGCATGGATGAACGAACACCTGCGGAGCTCCTCTCCAGCCGAAGCGAGGGGAGCTCAGGTCACCGCTCTGTGATTGCCTGTCTGTGCTCGCGCTTCCCCGCGACTCGCAGCGCGTTTCACCTTCGCAAAATGCCGTGTCCTGACCGCCGGGTGAGGCACTGAGAGCATCCCGTAAGCACCGGCGAGCGCGGGGTTTTATTTACCGACTCACTGCATTTCCATGGAAACTCTAATTGTCACACCGTGCAGCGCCGGAATACCGGGCTCCAGGGCCGCCTGGAGCGGCCTCCCGAAATGCGCCAGCACGGCGGCCCCAGCCCCAGCCCCGGCCCCGCCGGGCGGGCGGCGAGTGCGGCAGCGCCAGCCCCGGGGCGCGGCCCTCGGCCGCGGGCGAGACCCGGCGCCGCCGCAGCGCCCGCCTAAGGTACCCTCTCCTCCCGCTCCGGCGGAGCCGCGCCGTGCCCGCCGTGCCGGAGCCGTGAGCGCGGCCCGGGGCTGCCCTGCCCGGCTCGCCCCCGCCGCCCCGCGGGGCGCCCGCAGCGGGACAGCGCGCAGGTAACGCGGGGTGGGCGCGGAGCCGCGGCGGGCTGGGCTGGGCTGGCGCAAGTTTAGGCGGGGCAGGTGCCTGCCAGCAGTTGCGCGGGATAGGGGGGGTTCGCTTGGGCGGAGGGGGCTCGGTGTGGGGGCATCGCGGGAAGCGCGGGGCTCCGGGTTAAGCGCGGTGCGCGGTGCCGGACCAGGGGCGGTGCGGTGCGGGCTCGTAGGGCAAAGAGGATCCCGAGAGAGGTGCGCCAGGGCGAAAATAGCAATCGTCCCCAGTTTGGTGCTTTTGCCTCCGAGAGCCAGGAGCTGCTGTGCTCCCTCGTAGAAAACGTAGCCGTGCATTTAAAGTTTTCTGTTCTGACCAGCAAATGGCTCGTTACATTCTAGACCGTTTACTTGGAGCTGGAGGTATATTCTTATTAGTTGGCTTTGGCATATTTCGGGAAGTTGCGTTCTTGTTTTCCTGGAAAATATTGCAATTCTTCTTTTAGTCAGGCACAGAAAGAGGCATACCATTAACATAAACAGAAATCCACAGTTTTTCTGGACTTCTGAAGTCGTTTCAATCTTTTGAATTCTCACAGGTTCTCAGGCTAGTTTTTGCTATTGTGTGCAATGAACAACATCGGAAGCAGCAGCTTTTCATCTTTAGCTTAGATTATGAATGCAACACTTGAGTGGTTTCAAATTTTGTCTCGGATTTATCTCAGTCTTTACTGATGTGAGGGCATAATTTCTCAAGTTGTAACAGCACAGCTCAGTGCTTTTCCTTAAGCTTCAGTAGTCGGGCAGTAACAGCTTGTCTTATTAACTATTTACAGCTGTGTAGAAGTTTAAAGACCTTCTCCGACTTTTTCCATGCAGTCTTGATACAAGTCTGGTGTTATGGAGGCAGAAAGGTTGTATTTCCTAGGTAATTTTCACGTTGTGCTTCCTCCCTAAGACTATAAATTGCTCACAGCTGTAAAGATTAATTGTCCTGTTACAAGAATGGAACTGACTAGACTATACAAGGACCAGCCAGTCAGAGTTAACTTAACAGGTACCAATATTGTAGGATATAAGCTCTTATGCATGAATAAACTTTAATGTAAGTACCTCATCTAATAGAAGGAACATTTCCTGAAAAACAATTGCTTTTAGAGGATGATGGTTGTCTGTCTAACTTTTGTGTTCTTGAAAATTTCCCTTTAAATATTTAGAGAAAGAGAAATAGCCAGCCTATTAACTCCCCTAAATTGTCACTTATAGATTTTATATTTTAGGTGATAGCTTTAAGTGAAATAATTATATTAAGTACAAGATATTAAGCATATTAAATTAGCATATTTTGGGTTATGTGGTACTTCCAACGCAGCTACACCTGCATAATGGATTCATTTCTCCCTGTCAATCTCAGGCCCTAGATCAGCTGCAACTGAAGCATGCTTTTGGTGAAAATAAGAATCACAGTAATCAGATAGTCACACTGAGATATACCATAAATTATTGTGACTTAAGGAGGTGTTATTTGAAATTCTTCAAGATCATGGTACACCATCTGTTAGAAAATACATTTTACTGTACTCTTAAATGTTAAACGCTTTTTATTAATGTTAACTGATTTGAGTCTTACAGTAAATATTAAAATCCACCTTGGGCCCTGCCACGAAACTGAAGTCTCTCCTACCTCATGCAGCCTAGCCTTCTGTCTCAAGCATTCCATTGAAACTAAAGAAGACCTGAGCAAACCTACGTAAAGCTCACGGGGTGTGAGCTCATACAGGTGTAGCTGGGCACAGTTGTTAGTGTACACAGACCAGGATCACAAAAAGGGAACCTCATTTGCTTGGCTGATTGATGTAGGAGGTGAAAGTGATCCAGCCTTTAGAGCTGACAGCTGAAAATCTCCAGCAGGTACCTTCAGACTGACTAAATTTAAGTTTGAAAACAGCTGCAAGAGCACTCTTGTACTGTGGTGCATTCAGTTTAGAAATACACTTCAAATATGAGGAGAGGGTTTTGAAAAGAGACTATATTATTTAATTCTATTTCCCACAGTGGAATTTTCATGAATCTCCATTTCCCTAAAACTACAGCCATGTGCTGCCCTGGGATTGACCAACCGGCGAGAGTGAGAGTGAGAGAATCTCTCAAAATAGAGGCAGCTGTTAAAACAAAGCAGGAAGATAAATGCCAATAAGTGCACATAGCCCTGTGAAATCAGTGGCATGCTATTGAGTTTGGGGACTGAAGATCAATTATACAGGAGGAACACTTTTGTTTACACCTTTACTGCCAGAGGCACTCAAGCTGAGAGCAACTGGTTTCTTTTGATCAGGAGAGGATGCTCAGAGACAAGGGATCCACTTGGCATCTTTTGAAATTTTGGGACAAAATCTGCTTTCATTTTAAACATCCAAAATGAAAATAAAGTCATCTTTGGGCATTTTGCAAAGCAAATTTTGTCAGCACAGCAGTTCTGTGCTGAAACAGCAGATTATAGTGTTATTCCTTCCCCTCTGTCTTTCTGCCACTCTGAAACTGTGATTAGAGGGAGATGGTGCAGAAGGGGTTTCAGAATACTGCAGACTCCTGTGGTGCCCCAAGTGTCCAGCTAGAGCCTGAAGAGATCATGTTGTGGCTTCTTCCAGTGGTCCTTCCTTATGGAAATGAGGACATATGATAGGGAAGATGGCCCCTTTTCATTTCTCACCCCAGGCAGAAGGCAGCCATAGCTCAGAAGGGATGGAGCTGGAGAGCCCGTGCTGGACTTCAGAGGTACAGCTACTAAGCTTCTTCCGTGTTGATGTGCCTCAGTAAAATGTCTACTTCAGCAAAACCAGCGTATTCACTTTTTGTTTTTTAAAGAATTCTATTAAAAACATAGTGAGCAGTTCTGCTAAAGCCATACTGCAAGAGCTCCATGTGGAGGTGTAGAAATCTATAGAACCTGGCAACAATTTTTCAGTTAAACCTTCCAGAAGAACTCTATAAGCATTCATTTAATGAATATGTTACAGCATAACAACACTTAAATTTTGTTCTCTGGCCCTAGTCTTAGCATTGTCTGTATGGAATATCAATTTCTAAAAGATAAAATAATTATGGTGCATTTGATTTGAAAGCCTCTTCACTTTTAGTCACCCAGACCTGAAAGTGGTAGAAGGAAATAACAGTGACACCACCAGATTTATTTCAATTCTCTTCATAGAATCCATTGATTAAAACTAAGCAAAACTTAATGAAAAGATAAAGATTTCTCTACAGACCATAACACATAATTAAACGGAAATGGACTAACTAGATAGAGAGCCTTTTCTACCAGTAGGAATGCCTGCTTTTTTCTCCATTCACTGATGAACCTATGGCCTAGGAACCTTTTCAATGACAGCAAATATTACCAAAAAGTCTAGAGCGGGCGTTGTAGTTTTCAACGTGGATCAGCAAAACTCTCACACATACATAACTTCTATTATAACTTAAACACTGGTGTGCATCTTTACTGCTCGGTACGACCTTCAGATGTGATGATGTGCGGGAATTTAACTGCTATGGAAAATACTTATAGATACACTAAAAGCAACCCTAATTGCTGGGTTTCTGTGGGAGAAACAGTAACTCCAGTTTATTTCTTCTTTTACAGGTTCATCGTTCAACCTAGTATCAGTTAAAATAGAAGAATACGCAGAGTGATTGCTGTTAGCACAGAGTTACTTATGGAGGCACAAATAATAAGTGAAAAACTCATTTCTTCAGCGTCATCACCACTTTGAGAGCATTGTAAGAGTTTTTGAGGGGTTTTTTGAGTCTTAAGATGGTACTGTATTTCCTTCTCTCTTATTAGTCTTCTTTCTCACAGTTGATTAGTAACCAAGATTTGGAGAGATCCAGCTCTTGAATAGTGTTTCATTTCCCTTTCTCAAAAACCTCTTGATATGGTTCAAACCTGCTAGCAGGCAATGGATGTTCCATTAGTAAAGCTCTTTTAATCTGTGCAAGATATAAACTGGAAAAGGAAGGTGTCCAAGCAAAAAGAGAATTGCCCAGAATAACACTAATAGCATTTCTTTATTAACTCTTCAGTTATGCAAGGTTTTTTCCTACAGACTTCTCAGCTAAGTGTGTAGTGTGGTGGAGCAAAGATAATAGGATGCTCATCCTGAAAATATTAGACAGGTAATATTTCATATTGAAACACAACATAGAGTAGAAATGGCTTTCATCAATCAAAAGAGAGTGTGGAGATTACAGATGGCCTACACACACTGAAATCTGCAAAAGCATCCATCAACAGAATCCACCATTCCTCCATGCTGAACAAAGAGAAAAAATTACACAAGTGTGACATAACAGGGACATAATGCTATAAGCCCGAGGTATGGAAATGTATCTTATCTAGACCAAGGCTCTGCAGGGGGTTTCTCAGGCAAAAGTTATGTAGAGTCATATTTAGGGAAAAGAAAGAAATTTCAGCAGATTTTGGAAGTCATTGCGGTATGCAGATCATACTGGTTTTGGTTGGTTAGAAGAAACTCAGAAAAATTAGCTCAGAAAATAAGTACAAAACTATTTACTTCATTAGCTAATATCTGTATAAAGAGAAGCCCACTAAAATGAAAATTTCTGATAATATCAACATAGACATAGAGAGATTTGATCACTTACAGAAGCTCTAGTCTACTCTTTAAAGTTGGTCTAGAGGCAAAGGTAGTCTCAGCACTGTTTGTCTATTATCTGGTTTCCCACCATTTCATTAAAGACTGGGAAAAATGGAACAGAAATAATATGCATTTATGCCGCTCTGCTTGTATGCACACAATTATTAAATTTAGGTTATCTAAATTTACATATCTAGTTCTTACTTCTATTTTAGCTATTTTAAAGCACTATAAGATTGAGAGAAGGTGGCAAGGCTGACTTCTTTTCACCTCTTTCCAACACATTACTTGCAAGCTATTACTTTTTCAAAGTAAGTATTCCTACCGTTACCTGAGGAACCTTCTCATCACAACATCACAGCAGTCTGTCAGTGAATATTCTGAGGTTGTTTTAAGGTTTGAGCTTCCCTTTGGCACATGACAGTAGGAACACATGTGACGTGAAGGAAGGAACACATCTGCATGTGTAGAGGAAGCTGAATAATATTTTTGCACTTTGAAGAAGTCAGCACCATAGAGCTTACAGAGAAACCTTGAAGAGCCCTGCCTTTTTTTAGTGACAAATTTAGCCTTCTGCTCAATTTATATATGCTTTAGTATTGTTTAGATATTCCTGTTTTCTCTTATGTAAGATTTCTAAGCAGTTTTGTCCAGGGCACTAGCACTCTGGAGAATTTTGAAACCTCAGTACATGCAGGTGTTTAAGGTAAATTGAAGCTTGAACTAAATTCTCATGTCTTTCTCTTTGTTCTAAATTGAAGACAACTACATGAAGATTCTGTAGGCAGAATAACTTGGTGCTGAGTTATGTTTTAACATTAGATGTTTTTTCAATGCTGAATAATTAGTGGTTCACTGAATTTTCAAATGGTTGTGTGGAGTTTGCTTCCAATTATCACTGTCCTCTTTGTATTACATCCAGTTACTTTAGGTGTTTTGTAGACAGGTTTCCTTTCTGCTTGAGCACCAGTTAAAATATGTTCAACTCTTAATAGAAAATGGTTTCTATACACACCACATTAAGAATTCCATCTTGGATCACTGACAGTGGATTTCCTGATCATTTTTGAAAGCTCTCACTTATTTTGTGTTAGTTCTCTACTAGCAAGGTAAGAAATGCTAGCGCAGTTGTTAGCATATGTATTTTCAGGTGCCCTAATTACAATTTGCTGTGATACAATGACTAGGCATGTGCCCAGATGGTGACTGTCATTTCCTTACCCATGTCAATGGGCTGTTATGCACATGAGTAATCTCCCCAACTCAAGATGAATTGCTTTTGTAGCTAACTGTTCCCTCATGGAAAGTCTGACAATATAGTCCATAGCAAAGCATAGTTAAAAGCCAGCATCATAATGCAGAACCTTAAATTGCCATTCTCCCACGTGAGCAGCCGGGTAGGAGGCCAAGGCGTGCTGAACACCACGTGATAAAACCTATGTATCTAATTCATGTTGACCTGAAGCTGTACAGGATCTGCCTCACAGTAGACTAACATGAGTAGTAATTTATTTGCATTGAGGTGATACAAGGTAAATTTATGTTCCTTTACGTTCTGATTAACAGCAATATCATTGTTCCTTCAGATGCTAATTAATGCCTTTCTCGTTCTAAGCAGGGACTGTAAAATGGATTTAGGATTAAAAGACCGTAACAACAGGACACCTACCAGGAACACCTCTGCTACTACAAAGAATTTTTCTGCCTGGGAAGACTATAGGAGTAGTGTTGATGACATACAGTACTTTCTTATTGGGCTGTACACACTTATAAGTCTGGCTGGCTTTATGGGAAATCTGCTTATACTAATGGCCCTACTAAAGTGCAAGCAGAAGACAATAATAAACATTCTCATAGGTAACTTGGCCTTTTCTGACATCTTGGTTGTGCTGTTCTGTTCGCCTTTCACGCTGACATCCGTCCTGCTTGACCAGTGGATGTTTGGCACTGTCATGTGCCATGTAATGCCCTTCCTCCAGTGTGCATCAGTTCTAGTTTCAACTTTGATGTTAATATCTATTGCTGCAGTCAGGTACCGTATGATAAAATATCCCCTTTCTAGCAATCTAACAGCAAAACAAGGCTATTTCTTAATAGTGACCATTTGGGCCTTTGGCTTCACAATTTGCTCCCCTCTGCCAGTTTTCCACAAAATCGTGGACCTCAGCAAAACTCTGAATTTAGAGGCACTGGAGAACAGACTCTTGTGTATCGAGTCATGGCCTTCCGATTCATACAGAATTGCCTTTACAATCGCCTTACTGTTCATGCAGTACATACTGCCGCTGGCCTGTTTAACTGCCAGTCACACCAGCGTCTGCAGGAGCATAGGCTCCAGGCTGTCAAGCAAGGAGAACAAGTTTGAAGAGAAGGAGATGATAAACCTCGCTCTTCATCCCTCGAAGAGCACTAGCACACAGGTGCAGTCCTCTGGGCAGTCCAGGTGGAGCTGTGCCTTTGGCAGAAAGCACCACAGAAGATACAGCAGAAAGACTTCAAGTGTGATGCCAGCTATTTCGAGGCATCATCAGGATACTCATTCAAGAGATCTCCCAGAAACCTCTGGCACAGAAAAAAGTCAGCTCTTTTCCTCCAGTAAATTCATCCCTGGGATTCCTATCTGTTTTGAAATGAAACCAGAAGAAAATACAGAGATCCAGGACATGATTACAGTATCCCAATCTATTGTCAGAATTAAGACGAGATCTAGGAGAGTTTTTTGCAGACTGACAGTGCTAATCCTAGTTTTTGGTTTCAGTTGGATGCCTCTTCACCTTTTCCACATTGTGACAGATTTTAATGCCACTCTCATTTCTAACAGACATTTTAAATTAGTGTATTGCATATGCCATTTATTGGGTATGATGTCCTGCTGCTTGAATCCCATCCTCTATGGGTTTCTTAACAACAGCATAAAAGCTGATTTAATGTCCCTTATCCCATGCTGCCAAATACTGTGATTTTATGTGCCCCAAGATAAAGTAAAACAAACAAGTATGGCTTTCAAGCCTACTGGCGTGCATAGCTGTAAAAGATAAATTAGTTTAGTTAGTCTGACTTGGTTATGATTAGTAGCATTTTGTGTGAACGAATAGTTCTATGGCTGCATGTATTCCTTGCATTGGGCAGAATTATATACATACATTATAACATTTCTCTATCTGTTACACTTAGGAAACCATGCCCAGTGTACAAAACCGAACACCATTTTCATTACCTGAAATGTTGGCAATCTGTGCTTTGGAATTATACAGAATATATAATGAATAATAAATGTGAGACAGACTACTTAGACATATCAGTATTAACTGTCATAAAACTATAATAAAATACATATAATTTACTAAATAACTATCGTTGAGACTATTTTACTGCCAACTTTGACTGTTTTCTAATATAACTAAACATCTCTTTCTGGATGTGATTGGAAAAATGTTCTTTGACTCGTAGTTTGCAATATCTTTGCAATATGCTTTGCTGCTGGCTCCTAGGTTGTCTTACTCCTTGGTTCGAGGGTTGTTGTTCTTGTCTTGATTGTTTCCATCTCACCATGTTTACCCAGTACAACCTGTCCCCGATTTCCTTAGACAGTTTTCACTATGTCTTGTCATTTTGTGTAATTTTCCACCAGCCTGAACTTATCTATAGTTATGCCTTTGTTCTTACAGTGATGACACCCCTGAACATACTACATACTTCTGATCAGAGTAAGCCTTCATTACCTAAGCAAGTGATAGTAGAAAGAAAAAGAAAATAGAAAGACAGCAGGATTTTTTTCTTTTCCTTTACGAAAAAGCAAAAGCTTACTGCACTTCATTATAGCTGACCCACTTGCTTTGGAAAGCTGTAACAGCTTTCAAATAAATTTGTGCATGTCTGCCTTGACAGGTGGGAGGGATGGGCAGAGTGGATTATTTTTAAATTCAAGAAAGGCAAGTGCAAGGTCCCACCCCCAGGGAGGAATAACCCCTTGAACCAGTGCTTCTGGTGTCTAACATGCTGAAAACAGCTCTGTGGAGAAGGACCTAGAGGGTCCCAGTGGACAAGAAGCTGTCCATGAGGCAGCAGTGTGTCCTTGTGGCCAAGAAAGTCAATGGTCTCCTGGGGTGCATTAGCAAGAGCATTGCCAGCAGGTCAAGAGAGGTGATTCTACCCCTCTACTCAGCCCTGGTGAGGCCTCAGCTGGGGTACTTTATCCACTTCTGGGCTCCCCAGTACAAGAGAGACACGGAGCTCCTGTAACAGCTTCAGTGGAGGGCAACAATGATGATTAAGGGACTGGAACGTCTCTCTTACGAGAACAGGCTGAGCGAGTTGGGCCTCTTCAGCCTTGAGAAGAGACTGACTGAGAGGGGACCTCATTACTGTTTGTCAGTATCTGAAGGGAGGGTTTCAAGAGGATGGAACCAGGCTCTTCTTGGTGATGCCAAGCAATAGGACAAGAGGCAACGGGCAGAAACTGATGCACGGAAGTTCCACCTGCATATGAAGAAGAACTACTGTGTGGGTGACCAAGCACTGGAATAGATTGCTCAGAGAGGTTGTGGAGTCTCCCTCATGGGAGATATTCAGTAAATGCACAAAGCATTTGCCTTGAGTTTTAAGTTGTGAAACCTCTCCCCAGGTCCAGCTGGTGATTATTTCCTTTTCTCCACTAAGATTTTTAATCCAATAGGCCTTTGTATATAGCTTCTACAGTCTGAGAAATAAAGTTATTCCTTTTATAAATGGGTGGTTGGAAACGGTCGGTGTGCATTTTTTTTTCCTCAAGATACTTCCCTTCCAGTTAGTCTTTAAAAATGAAATGATGATTTTGAGGAATCATCAACTTATTTTTATCACAATGTTGTCATTCTGAGACCTTTTCTCCCCAAGCTACTATCTGCTAAGGAGTTTATTACATACCAGTGGGTAATAGCTTCTACCCGTAAGGTATTTTTCTGAAGTCTAGCTCTCAGTAACTTGTTCTTTGTTTTCATTAGTGATATACTTTAATAGTTTCTTCCTGGACACTGACTATTGCAGATTATTATCTCCTAAAACCCTACAATATGTCATTACATAGAGTACAAATGGAACAGAATAGACACTGCTGGAACAATATATTTTAAAGTAGCTTTTTAAACATTATTTATGGCTAGTCTTAGTAGATAAAATTAGGAAAAAGTTAACTAAATTTACATCCAGAGCACAATGATGTCGTTCTATAGAAGCTACAGCAGCTTATGCCCTATTTCTGTCTACAAATTTTCGCATAATTGTAATATATAATTTAATCTTATTTATACCATGTGATATAACCTAATAGTATAAAAGGATAAGAAAGGAGTCACAAGCTTGAAATATTCCTTCTGACTTTATCTATTTATTTTTTCAGTGTACTGTTCTCTTCCTTCCTACTTGCTATTTATTTTCTATTCCTTCCTTTCTTTCAGAATTTCAACCATTTTTAACTCCTACACTGAGGATTGTTATTTTATATAAATTAAATATTTATTTCAGATCAAATTCTACTCACTTTATATAACATACAGAATCATGCTAGGACTTGAATAAGGCCTTTCTCTAGTTCTGAGCTGCACAAATATTAATCTGTACACTGGAGATTTTATATTTATATCTATTTGCCTGGATGAAGTCAGTAATTGTGTTCCCTACTCTTTATACTGATCAAAGCACAACAAATTGTAATTTGGCAATGGAGAATTAAATCAAGACAGCTATTGAACTTCTTTAGTCCTGTGCCATCTAAATCTGTCATCTTCTCTCTTTTTTTTAAAGTCAATCAATGGTGGTAGAATGTATATTTTTATTTATAAAGCAGTCATCACCATTATATTTTGAAATTTCCAAAATGTCCTTGTCTTTCCTCTGAATTGTTAAATAAAAATAAAATAACTTTTCTACCTTAAACTTTACTTCAACAACCAGTGTAGCCTGGTCCCAGTATCAGCAAGGAATACATACAAAGCAAACAAGAGCAGTAGCAAGTGAAATCAGGGAGAAGGCAATTCCCAAAAGAGTAACTGGCAGTGTGGTGTCTCCATTATATATGCCAATATTTCTTGGGAAAATGTATCACACCACTATATCCAATGACATTTTATTATTATTATATTTAGACAGGTATATGCACAGGTACAGATATGCACACTTCCTAGAGAACACAGCACATTAAAAAGGATTTTCATGTAGCACATTTAATCAAGTCCTCAGGCCAGCTAAAGTCTACCCCTTTTGTAACTAAAAATCTGAATAAACAGTAAGATAGGAGTTTGTTTTGATAGCAACCACTAAATGCAATCAGAAAACACCAGCTGCAGAGCCATGTATCCATTGTAATGGTATGGTGATTCCTCACTATTAATAAAAATAAAAAAAAAAAAAAAAAGAAAGAAAACCACCAAACAACAACAACAACAAAAACCCAACAAAAACCAAAACACCAGAAAAATTGAAACAAAACCTCTCAGCTGTTCTTTGTGTATGATGAACTCTTAGGAAGATTCTCATGAGAAAGCTAAAACTTTTTTTTTTTTAATTCTACAAAATATCATTGACAAAGTTCACTTTTTTTCTTTTTGCAAATGTCAAAGATTAAAATTCACTTTTGTCCCTCTTATTTTAGTGGAGAGGAAACAGAGTCACTGCCTGGGGTCTGGCAGGCAGGGGAACTGCATCTCAGGCAGATGCCTGGCAGGACAGAGCCAGCCCTGGGTAGGGCTGTGGGGGGACTGGAGAGCTGGCAGGGACGCAGTGGGAGACAAAAAACACATTGCTTCTGTGTTGGCTGCTGATTGCAGCCTTTTCCAGGTGCACAGACGTGTTCCTGGAGCCTGGAAGCTCTCATGACAAAATGTTTCCTTCTCAGCAGCGTGAACACCTGAGAAAAGGGAAAAAAATCCCCTGATCTGAAGATGCGTGAGATCCAAGAAGAGGGGCACAGTCAGGAAGAAAAGTGTTCACTCCCAGTCATGTTGAGATAGGCTCCAGCTCTCCTTTGGAGAAGTATAGGCTGGATAGCACAGAAAACTTCCCTATCTAATGATTATTAACAAATTAAAAACCCCTTCTGTAATTCATAGGGGTCTGTCAGCTATCACTGCACTTTTGAAAAGGAAAAATATCAATAGATTCTCACAGTAGTTCCAATATCTCTCTGCAGCATTCAAGATAAACACTATTAAATTTCATAGTCTCCAGAAGGATTCTTTCATAAATACTGGGGGGTGCAGGAATATAGCCTTTGATTTTGATGAAAGCCAAATTACGTCTATACTGTTTGCATTAAAAAGTCCTGGCCAGAAAATTTATTAGTGTAGTCTGGAACAGTCTTAGCACAGTGTCAGGACCCTGGTCCTAGAAAATTCTCTTCTTTTTTCTCTCACATGACTGCAATAAGGTATAAAACCATAATCCCCATAATTTAAAAGATGATTAGGTAAATTTTTGAACCATTTTTGACTATGATATGTGGTTTATAATCTCTGAGGTCAGGTTTCTTTTTCTTTCATAGGGCTCTTTTATATACAGTTAAATGCAAACCCTTCTTTTTTTTTTCTTTTTTTTTTTTTTTCCCTAGAGCCTTTTACATGCAATATGTAATGAAGACCCTTGAAGTTGCTTGGTTTTGATCCAATAATATCTATCTTTATCATATATTGCTTGAAAGTTGCCTTTGCACTGGAGGTAGGTAGAGCTGTTGTTATTGTTAATATTCAGTTTTACAAGGGAAGAGAAACAAAAGAGAGAAAGATAAATAAAAGCAGATCTATACTAATGCTAGCTACCCACATTCTGCTAGTGACAAAGGAATGTGTCAGAGCCAGACCTTTCTCAAGGATCTGCCATGAACAATGAGTTTGTAACAGTACCATTGAACATTACTGATCCCACATGTGACCAGGAAGCCTATTGTAAATTTTTGAACCTGAGTAAGTAACAGCTCATAAGTGAGTATTGGTAAGGGTACTCTCAAAACTATCCCTCTCAAATTTCTTTTTTAATGCAAAAGCATTTTCTTTCTAAACATTTGATAGAGATAGCTTTGTCTGTGCTCACTCATAATGCATCATGCTGTGCCATTAAGACAATCTGTGTCGTCACACTAGGCCATGACCCTATACACATGCCAGTGAGTCTTACCACAGCACCTATTTTTAAAATTCTCAAGGCTCTGACATACTAGAAACATCTGTTCTACTCCAAAGCTTACCATGATCTCCTGGCCCCCTCATTCAACTTCATCTCAGTTTAAAAAAAAACAAAACCCAAAAAAACAACAACAAAAAACCAAACCAAACCAAAACACACACACACACACACACACACAAAAACCCAAACAAAAAACA